AGTAGGGTAGGTAGTAGTAGGGTAGGTAGTAGTAGGGTAGGTAGTAGGTAGTAGGTAGTAGGTAGCAGGTAGTAGGTAGTAGTAGGTAGTAGGTAGTAGATGGCCAGGGACACAGGATCAGATTAATAGGGGGTAGTAGTGCAGATTATTGATGGGGGACCGGCCCTTGTGAGGGGTACCCTTTGTGAGCTTGTCAAATGATTGTTTTTAATTGTTTTTTAATAAGGCAATTTATAGGCCCTGAGCCCTAGACATTTTAAAGGATTTCATCAAACAGCAGCAGCAGCAGCAATAGCTACAGCAGTAGCTAGTAGCAGTAGCAGCAGCAGCAGCAGCAGTAGTAGTAGTAGTAGTAGCAGTAGTAGTAGTAGCAGCAGCAGTAGTAGTAGCAGCAGTAGCAAGTATAATGTCAAGTCAGGATAAATAAACCTCCACTAGTTAACCCCTTATTAAAAGTAATATTATTTTTTGGGGATCGTGTAGGCTCGGATTAACTGGGGGGGGTTGTTGGTAGAAAATTAGACAATAGGGGGGGAAATCAACAGCGAATAATACTTTTAATTTGGGCAATTTCCGGCGGCTTTGTGGGCTCGGATTAACTAGGGGAGGTTTATTAATCCTGACTTTGCATTACTTGCCAAGGGTCAAGGCAAAGTAGGATGAACATTGGACTCACGACTCAAGACTTGGATTTTGTTAGGCGTTGCGTCCCCACGTGGCCCACGACTTATGAATTGCTGACCGGAGCGAAGGTAAGTTGATGCAAGTTGAGGGGAAAGGAAGCCGCATGGAGCCGCAACAGCAAGGGAATATGAGGAACATTGAGGAACGCGTAGGAACGCGTTATATTGTGAAGAGCTGTCAAGATCTCTCAAGTCCAGGCAGTGAAGTCCACTGCGTCACGAAGCTTTCAAAGAGCCTTGGCTGCAACCAGGTGGTGCCAGACTGTATGGATTGACGCATGGACACAAGATGAGTCCTTCTTGTGGAACGAGTTAAGAAATGACAAAATTTATTGCAAACCAGCTCATGTTCGAGAACATATTGTGCAGTTTTACCTGGAAGACCCTTAGCCCTTCTGCGCAAGGTTCGCCATTTGGCTCAGGCCATGTGAGTGGAGGCCTCCTTTTCATCCCTACTCTTGAGGCACCGCCCGCGTCGTACCGGGTCGCCAGCGGGGCGCCATGGGGGACTTCGGCCTTGGCATCTCTCCTGCGGTGGAAGCTCTGAAGAAGGCGGCTTCCCCCAGAAGTCGCTTGGGTCATGACGAGTCGAAGGTGTCTTCCTTTTTCTTCGGCCAAAGCACACGGCGAAACGAGTCCGCGAAGAGATGCATAGAGTACGTATGTTTTTTGGGGGGAAGCTGGGCTGTAAGCAAATGGAGCATTGTCACAACAAAGGTTGTGTTTTGGATATGCTTCGGACGTAAAAGTCTCAATTGGATCCATCGCAAAGCATACCAAAGGGTGACGTTCTTGTGCCGTTGCCATTTTTTGTTGGGCATTCAAGCCCTCCCACCATTTGAAGACTTGATGGATGGATGGAATGGGACGGATGGATAAGCCCATGGATAGATAGAATTAGATAGATAGATAGAATTAGATAGAGAGATAGATTGGTAGATAGGTAGATAGATAGATAGATAGATTCATTCAGATACTGTAGATAGATTGATAGATCGATTAACATAACTGGGGTTGTGTTTCAATGGTCTGGCAGATGTCGTTGTTTTTGTCCCCCTCCCTTCTGAGCGCAGCTCAGGCGTCCATACTGCGCATCAATTTCCAGGCGCCGAAGGGCGGCTGACGCCTCTGGAGTTGGAGACTTGGATGATTTTCTAAGATCATTTGGGTGTGCATCGGAGACACCCGTGGAGACACTCAACCAATGATGTAGGTTTGGCCTTTTTTGATGTCTTTTTCGCGCATGATGTCTCATGAAATGGCTTTGACAGCCTTTGCCAAGCGTAAGGTAGACATACAATGGAATAATTGGAGCAGGGCCCCAGCACTGTGCAAAGAACAAAGAACTGTACAATGCAAGCCTCCAAATCTACATCCACAAAGGCCAAGAACAAAGTTCTGGCTTCAAATCATTTGGGATCGATTTCCCTTGGCACGACAGGACTTCGATAATTGAAAGCTCCTCGGACCACCCAGTGATTCCTGCAAACGCCTCAAACGGGTGTGGGCTTGGTCTCTTCATAAAGCTGCGTCCTGAGTCGTCACCCTCTTCTGCCTTGATCCACACCAACTCACATGAAAATTATCCAGGCTAAGCCCCTAAGCTCCAAACCACAAGACAAAAGAGACGGCCACTCGTTTGGACAAGAAAGGGTTGCCCAAACACCTTCTGGAGCAAAGACCCATTCGCACGTTCGCATGTAGACCTTGAACTAGTTCCCCTGTCAGTAAACCGATTAGTCGACCAAGCGTGATTAGTCGACCATCTATCCCCACCAGCTTGAAGGTGCTCCCAACCAATGGGTTTTGTTCTATGTCCATTCTTCCAGGCGGTCGAACTGGGAGGTCTCCCTATGTAAATGCACACCCGTTTTTTGGCATCTAATCTATCTACATTACATCGTTTCATCAGCTGGAGTTTTTGAGATGAACGAAACAAAAATACACCCAGGAACAGAAATACACCCAATCAATTGCTGGAGCTCAGGGCGATGGGGATGCATTGAGCACCCATGAGCAGGGCCATAGAAAGAGGAGAGGTCATCCGGATGGTTGGCAGATACTAGTAGGAATTAATAGATGCATTGGAACAGGAATGTTGATGGAGTTTGGATGATCTGACTCATCTGACCAAATCATCCCACGCCGGAGATGCAGGGCCATCAATGCCCTCCACGGAAGCAACGACATGCCGTGAGATGTTGGCCCTTTGTCGCCACAGTGCTCACGTGCTCACACTGCGTCTCATGAATACCAGCATGGCGACATGAAAGGTTTCGGAATGAAGGCAAATAGCTACAGTAGCTAGATGAATGAAGTGTGGCAGTGTGGTTCAAAACTTCCTTAGTTCCAAACTTCCAGCTATATTGTGGATCAAACTCAGAAGTGTGGATTTGCTTGGCCGCCAGCACGCTCATGTTTTGACTGGGATGATTCAATCTGAGGATGCCAACCTGCAGGTCGCAGAGGTCATGTACCGCAACCTTTTGCTGGGCAAGAAGGCGGGTCTTGCACATGCCACAGGTCCTGAACATCCAAACCCAAAATATGTGCGAGTTTTTCCAATTTTCTAATATAACTGTTAACAACATAGTAATATATAGATATATATACACCCTCCCTCCAACAAACATGGAAGTGGAACATTGATGGAACATGATGGCTGCTCGGAAGATTGTTTTCCCACTAGCAGGGGGGTGTTCCACTTCATGATCTTTCATGATTGTTTCAGGGAGGGTTTCTTTGGAATCTAAGTAACTTCTTTGGTTTGGGGTTCCCACTAAAATGTTCACTCAAGAAGGTGGGGTGGGATGGTTTTCTAGGTGCAGATGGACTTCAATGTGGGCATGGACAGTTGGTACCGAGAGACTTTCGGAGAGGACTGGGTCAAGAAGAACTTGGCTCAACGCCGAGAGCTCGAGAGACAGGCCAAGGAAACAGGGGAAAACAGCCCCATGTGGGTGGAAGCAGCTTCAGGCAGGGAACGCCTACATGGATGTGTCACAAGTTGACGAAAAGAAGGATCCGATGCTTATCCGCCTTGTATGTGTCAGGAAGTTTCTCGAGCTTCTAGATTCTAGGTGGATACATATATATATATTATATTATGCCGCTTCTGGTGAAGGTTCACTCAGTAGTCGACAAGTCACAGCATTTGCTTCCCCCAGAAAGCTGAACATGTCTACTTCCCAATAAAACATTGCAGCCGTCAGACCTTCTCGAAAACATAGTCAATGTCGATGAGTTCAACCTTTGTCAACCCCTAATTATGCCCCAAACATCCCTAAACCCTTGTCTTGCTGGAGGATTCTTTTGCCTCCTTTTGTAGCCGTGGTATGCCTTCCAGCAGCTGTTCGGTTTGTTCGTCAGGCTCATCCGATTTGGCCGCTGAAGTGCTGCAACTGGGCCCCACCGGCGGGGAGTGCTTGCGCCGGGACGGCGTAGACCGTGAGGCAGTGCTTGAGCTGCTGTCCTCCCTCTTGGTGAAGGTGCAGATCTCCCACTACGCACGCTGCGGCGCCGGGGAGAAGCAGAATGGCTTGAGGGAGACCTGGAGAAATCGTCCCAGAGGGAGATGCTGAAATCAACCGACACATCCACCGATGCTTTTGTCCATCCATCACCTCAACACCCAAGGGAAGACAGAAGAAGTGACTCCAAATGACTCCAAGATTCCACCGGAAGTAGTATACATTAAACAAAAACTAAATATGCTGTATTGTTTTTGAAATATGGAACAGGAGTCCCAAAGGGTGAAGATGTTTTGCACAGCAACCGAGTCTCAAGGCGATGGTCGCAGTGATGTGGCACTTCTATGCCGATGCGGAGGTCTTAAGCCTTTGTGCTGACTCTTTGCGCGCAGTGATCACGAACAATAAGTACAACTGTGATAGCTTGCTGGCACTTTGGACTCCAGTGCATCCACAAGAGCGACATCACGGTCAAGTCGAGAGGGGTTGGTCGTTCCTGCGCATTGCGTTCGACGCCTTTGCAGCTTGGTTATGATTCAGATTATAGTTCAGTTGGGAACTGCACCTAGAAAAGAGGTCCAAGATAGTGTCCAAGAAGAGCTATTTTTTTATTTGGTTTTTGGCTATCACCCGCCGTCCTCGTGCAAAACTGTTGAGAAGACCAGACTGACCAGACAGAATTACACGGCCGTTCCCCACAGCGGTTGAGCTTCTTACCGCCCTGAGGTCTTCCAAGCAGGTGGCGAGGTCCACCCCCGCGCCAGTGCTGCCAGCAACGCCAGCAGCGCGGGCGCGTCACGCGACAAGGAGGTGGCCGTGAAGGTTGCGTGCCGAGGCTGAAGGAGAACTGACCAGGGAGATTTCGGAGGGGACTTGAAGAGCAAAACCATGCAAAAGCCTTCTAGATTGGTGTTTGTATATTTGTCTCTGAAGTTATGCGCGCACACACACTCTCTCTCTATACATATACATATATATAACGTGATATAACTATATAATTACTGCTGCAAATTTCTTAACATCCTGGATCACTTTTCTTTAGTATTGCCCACACAGTATCCACATGGCAGGGTGCACACCCTCAGAAAGACCGCCCAATTGAAGCCAAGTGTGAAGCGTTGGCAATTGTTCACTCAACCCAGCTGGGGATTCCAGCTGCCTTGTGGCCCCCGAATGCAGGTCATCGGCTTCACAAGGTTCTATGTTCCCCCCTTTGCCTCATTCATCGAGCAAAATCCTCGGTAGCCCTCAGCTTGAACTTGCCTCATGTCAAGAGGCAACAACTCCAGATAGAAAATGATAGAAACACCTCCATTTGGTAGTCCGGAAGTCTTGGAAGTGCGCGGTCGTAAGTGCACGTTGTAAGATCGACGTAAAGCATCGTGCAGGGGAGCAGATTTATGATTGTTGGACTTTCGGTTAACAGCGCGGGACTGTTGTAGCAAGATGTGCATGTAGATGAGTACTCAATCCTGCGGCCGGAGCACATTGTCAGAAGCAACAATAGACCCGAAGTCTACGGATCAAAATCTTCGGCGCAGAAAAGGGGTAACCTTTTACACAAAAGGCAGCCTGTGCTTGAAAGTTGAATATGTGTTTCTAACATGTTCCTTGGACCAACGAATCAACCACTTGCCGCATGATTCTTTGTCGGGGAAAAGCTGGCTGCCGGGTGGGGGCGAGTCACGTAGCTGCCTGCTGGATGCTCCAGCCGACTGCTGAGGCGCTGCATCCTGGCGGCCAAAGGCTCACCAGTCATGGAGGCACAGCTCCGTTTGCTCAAAGCGACGGCTGAAAGGCCATGTCAAGAGCATCGTGAGCTCCAGGAGAGGGTGGATGGAAGGGGTCGAGGATGGAGAGTGGATAGATCGGATAGAGTGGATAGGTCGACAAGTGAAAACCGTGTGGGGCTTAGGGCGGATGCTTTGGTTTCATCATGAGACCCAATATTTTGCTTGGGAGTTTGGCATCACCTTTCCGGTCAGTCGCCGGTGGCCTTGAGGCTCCACTTCCGTGAGGGTCCTGAACGTCAAAGCACTTCGCTGAGGAGATGCTGCCCAAGATCATCCAGGTGACCAAAGACCTGGCTGGGAGGCTGAAGGGTAACGAGGCGCCGTTTTGGCAGGAGAGCCATGGGCGGAGAAGCTGCGGGCCACAAGCAGAAGTGTCTTAAAACATCGAAGAAAAACACCAAGTACTGTAGGACATGTACCTGTAGAGGGTTGGCCAGCAAGGGAACCGGCAACTCAAAAGATTCTGCAGTGGACAAGAGAATGGTTTGGTGTGAACTTGGAAACAAGTCAAAAATTGTTCAGTCTGGGCCATTCATCAAATAACCTCCGCATGTGGCAACCAAGAGCCGCAACTTTGTTGGTTGTTCAAGATTGTCAACTTGGAGTTCTTCAAGATTGTCCCCTGGCCCCCTTTTTTGGGGTCCCCTAGTAGCGAACATTGCTCCTAGTAGCGATGCCCTTTGCTCCTAGTAGCGTCCTTGCTCCTAATTGGTAGTAAGGCCAGGAGCCCATAGTAGCGTCCTTGTTCCTAGTAGTAAGGCCAGCAGCCCCTAGTTCATCAGATTGTTCACATTACTACTCCTACATGAGACGTGGCACTAGCAGTTGCACTAGCGGCGGAACTCGCCACGTACCTTGCCACAGCGAAGACAGCGACCGGCTCCAGGTGCTTTCGGAGCTGTTGGCGCTGCTGGAGGCGTGACGAGGCTCAGTCAGGGTGGAGCCATGGCATCATGGAGTAGTTGGTGCATGAAGAAGAGGAACATCAACCAGACACTTCTACTAACAGTGTAGCTTATTACCAGTAACAGTCAGTAAAAGATGCTCAGTATGTTTTTGACAAATGCCGTTACATGCCGTTACTAACCCTCATCATCCACTAGTACTGTTCCAAGTAATGGGATATGCCCAACTTCTAGCAGATTTGTGCGGATGGTTCTTATGCTACCGGTTGCATGGCTCCACCCTTCCAGGGTTTACCCCACACTGCCAAGAAGGAGGGCGGTGCTTTGTGCCCTTTGTGTAGCCAGGCTCTTCCAGACAAACATTTGGAAGATGCGTTTTGCTCAGGGTAGCCACCCCGCTGAGTGACATCTTCCGTCGAGTGGAGAAGAAAAAAGACATTGAGATCAATCATCAGCACAGTGCTTGGTTCGGCTGTCGATATGGTGATCGGCTCGGCTGCTACTGTTACAATGGATTTGTTTGCAGCAGAATGACGCACTGAACGCAGCACACAAAACACATTGTTCGGAAAACGCAGCACATTCTCATGGTGGCACCGAAACAAGGAGACCAAGACGGCCGGGTCTCGGGTGTCGCCGTGTCCATCCGGATGACGGCGGTCGAACGAGGTGTGGCCTCCACCGCCTCCTCATCAGCACAGTCTTTGCAGGAGCAGATGTGAGGGCACTGGAGCCGTGTTAAATAGATTGGGCGCCTTGGGATACCTTGGGATCCATATTGTCATATTTTTGTCAAAGATGATCAAAGCTTTTGACATGTTTTGTTCCAACTCCCTTTGATATGTCATCATGATCATCATGATTTGCCTGTTGGGGAAGTGAGAATCCACTATTCAACACTTCAGAGGCTCACAGTCTCGCATAGTGTGAAGGTAGATAAAGTATGATAAACTATTTTTGAGTGTGGCGAACCACAAACAAACCGGTGAATGCATCAGAGCTGATGGTTCGCCAGACTCACCGTTCGACGGTGCGGTTTCAACGTGGAACGGGGGCATCCCAAGGCCTCATCCGAGGCTTCATCCTGCATGCTTGGACTCGAAACTTGAGAGGCCATTTTGGCCCAAGTGTTGAGCACGGCAGGGCAGTCTGCAGGGCAGTCTGCAGGGCATGTCGTTGTCCACATTGCCAATAAAGTTTTGGCTTCTGATTGCCACAGTCTCGGCATGGTCCTTCCAAGGGCAGGACCTAAGAGAAGCCGTGCATGCATGGTGTGACGGTGACACACAGATGGATGGCATGGGGCACATTGGCACATGGAACGTTTCCAGGGTGACCAACATGTCAAGGCTTTTTGAAGGCCCGGGGCCCGTGTTTGGAAAATTGCTGCTTGGTGTCGGTAGTGGTCATCGTTTTAGAGTCTTCAAGGCCTAGATAGATGTCGGGCACGTTTTGGAAGATGTGGGCGGGCAGATTTATTGGTTCCACACTGGTGGCAGGCTGCTCCTCCTTCAATGAAGACATTCATGCATGGGACACCTCTGCCGTCATTGACATGGCCCATATGTTCCGCAATGCCACACAGTTCAACCAACCCATCGGCACATGGAACACCTCTGCCGTGACAAGCATGGAAGCGATGTTCGATGGTGCTGCTGAATTTAACCAGCCGATTCATACGTGGGACATTTCGGCCGTCACCAACATGGAACGTATCTTCGATGGAGCGATGGCTTTCAACCAGACGAGGCCGGTCTTTGATGTGGACACCGGCCACTGGTCCTTCGAATGTTTGGCGGGCCACGTGCGCAGCAACGGCACCTGCCATCCATGTGCTCATGGCTTGGTGGCGAGCAAAGGTGCAACAACATGCTATCGCTGCGAGGTGGGAGCCATACCAGCGGAAGACCATGGTAGCTGTCGAGTTTGTCCATTTGGGACCTTTGCTGAGCAAGGACGGTCCATAGGTCGCGTTATGTCAGCCCAGGCAAGAATCGGCATAATTGGGGGACATTGTAGCAAATATTAATATGTATATATTATATTATTTAAGGGCTACGCCCCCGTGCCGCCGACCCCGGGAAGTAGGAGTGGAGAAGGCTTGGACGGGAGCAGGGGTGGTCGTTGTGGTGAAGGGGAGGGATGTGGAGAGGCGCGAGCGGGAGGAGGAGAAGGGGAGGAGCAGGGGATAGGGCCCAGCGTCTGGTTCGGTCGCTGTGGCGAAGCAGGGGAGGTCGAGGAGGAAAGAACGGGGCGGTGCGGCGTCTGGTTCGGTCGCCGCGTCTAGAAGGGGAGGAGGCAGGGACGGGAGCAGGGTGGTCGTTGTTGTCGAGGGGAGGCAGGGCAGAGAGGGGGAGGGATATGGAGAGGCGAGCGGGGGGAGGAGAAGGAGAGGAGGAGGGGACAGGCCCAGCGTCTGCTTCGGTCGCTGTGGCGAGGCAGGGGAGGTCGAGGAGGAAAACTAGCATGGGGGGCGTGGCGTCTGGTTCGGTCGCCGCGTGTATGAGGGGAGGAGGCAGGGACGGGGTCAGGTGTGGTCGTTGGGGTGGAGTGGGAGAAGGGCGGAGAAAGGGGGAGGGACAGGGGGGGTCGTGTATGCAAGCGGGAGGAGGAGAGGGAAAGGGGAAGGCACAGGGCCCAGCGTCTGTTTCGGTCGCTGTGGCGAGGCAGGGGCAGGGCGAGGAAGAAAGCAGGGAGGGCGCAGCGTCTGGTTCGGTCGCTGCGTGTAGGAGAGGAGGAGGCAGGGAAGGGGGTCAGACATAGGCGCGATGGTCGAGGGGGAACAGGGCAGAGAGAGACGACAACTTTTCTTGTTCCTGTTTTGGGTCGGGGTGGATTGGCTACAAAAGTGGACCCCGCAAAAGGCGAAATTGTGGCGAAAGTTCAGCGGAAGATCGGCGAAAGTTAACCCTGCCAAACTCGGCCTCTAGCCCATTAGGAGTAAGAGTATGCGTAAGTTCGAGTGACTGGTTGCTACTGTGAATTTGCATGTTTGATGCTTGCTGACTCCCAAGAGAAAGAAAACAGACGCACAGGGTGTCAACAGCTACGTAGAAGACACATGCTGACAGACAGTGAAGTTCTAATATTTCGTGTTTGCTAGTAACGAAAGAAGGTGTGACGAGAACAAAACCACAACACACACATGGCACAGATAAGGGCAACATACTGCGGCGAAAGATAGAACGCAGGAAGGCGAAAGGTAGGGTAAATAACTTTATTGTGGGGAAAAGGATCGAGCGCGGAGAAAGGAACTTTGGGTGAACTCGCACAGGCAACAGTGCACAGAGAAGGTGGAAGCGGGTTGTCTGGATTTGTTTGAACATAGTGAAAGCAAGTGAAAGCGGCAGAGGGCCAATTTTTTTTTGCGAGGATTCTTTTTGGAAACACGTGTGACATTGTTAGTCAAGTGAAGGTTTGTGAGGCAGAGAAATGCAAAAAGAGAGGTGAGGCAGTGGAGAGGAGAAAGGAAATTTGAGGCAGGGAACGTGTAAAAGTGAACTGGAGGAGGAGGAAATGCGAGGTGTGGCGTGGGTGAATTTTGGGGGCTGTTTTACTGTGAGGCGGTCAGTGGCAGGAAACTGGCGGAATGGAACTGGCGACAGGGGAAATGCGAAACAGGGCACCTGAGCAGTGAACTGGGCAGAGGACACTGGACGCAGGGAATTGGCTCTGGGGACCTTGAGGCAGGGAACTGGAAGCAGGGAACTGGAGGCAGGGAAGTGGAAGCGTGGACGCTGGGAACTGGGACTAGGGAATTGGAGGCAGGGAACCGGAAGCAGGGAACTGGAGGCAGGGACCTGGAGACTGGGAACTGGGAAAGCGGGGACAGGGAAAGTGGCCAGGGGAGTGGGCAAAGGGAACTGGGGCAGGGGACTGGCTGCAGGGAACTGGAGGCAGGGAACTGGACGCAGGGAGCTGGCTCCAGGGAACTGGAGGCAGGGACCCGGAAGGAAGGAACTGGAGGCAGAGACTGGGAAATGGGAAACCGAGACAGGGAAAGTGGGCAGGGGAGTGGGCAAAGGGAAGTGGGGCAGGGGTCTGGCTGAAGGGAACTGGAGGAAGGGAACTGGACGCAGGGAACAGGCTTGAGGGAACTGGAGGCAGGGACCCGGAAGGAGGGAACTGGAGGCAGGGAACTGGAAGCAGGGAACTGGAGGCAGGGAACTGGAAGCGTGCGCGCAGGGAACTGGGACCAGGGAATTGGAGGCAGGGAATTGGAAGCAGGGAATTGGAGGCAGGGACTTGGATACTGGGAAATGGGAAACCTGGGACGCGGAAAGTGCTGCGGGAATCGGACGGAGGAAAGCTGAGCAGTGAAGTGGGCGAAGGAAACTGGGCACAGTGAACTGGTTCCAGGGACCTGGGGGCAGGGAAGTAGAAGCAGGGACTTGGAAAGAGGAAGCTGGACGCAGGGATTGCGCAGCCGAAAGGCATTGCGAACATTTCGAGAGGCATGAATGTACTGCAAATAGCAACAGCGTAGCTGTATATGTCTCTCACTGTCTACGCACACGCAGGCACAAAACAGAAAGAGTTGCGCTAATGAGTCTTGCAGTAACTACCCTCGACGGTGGGCCCGGGTGGGCGAGAGTATGATTGTGCATGGTGAGAGGAGCAAAGGAACTAGAGAGCTGTAGCGACGAAGTCGCGGCTGGAGGTTCTAGGCGAGTTGCTTGCTAGTTTGGACCTCGACGACAGGGGGCCTCGACTCTAGTAGCGATGGCCCCAGCTTATTAATCCGGTCCACTCATTAAAAGAACCCCCCCCCCGAATAAGGAAACCTCGGTTGTATTTCTTTCTACCAGGGGGTCCCGGAAATGGGGGGAAGCAGTAAAATGTGATAAAATCCGTTATTAAACTCGTATGAAAAATGTTCAAGAGCTCCAGATCGAAGGGTCTTTCGTTTTCCCGTAGAAAAACATTCATTAGAATAGTGATGCTTCAGTAGACTATGGTTCCAGCTGGCCCTAGCCTTGACGTGGCCCCATGGCTCTGGCTGCTATCCTGACCCGGCGGAGGGTTTGGGGTGCGGCCAGTCCTAACGTCACTTTCGGAACCAATAAAAAATTTTCAATCAAGACAGCAGCTGCCAGGAATTGGGCGCTGCCTCTAGCTCCGGGGTGCTATCCTGACCCTAACTCCGGGGTGCTATCCTGACATGGCTCCTGCTCCTAGCCCGTGGGCTCTGGCTGCTAGGCTTGCTCCTAGCCCGTGGGCTCTGGCTGCTATCCTGACCTGGCGCAGGGTTTGAGGTTGGGACGTGGCCTCTAGCCCTGACCTGGGCTCTGGCAGCTCTCCTGTGACATGGTTCCTGCTGACCAGGGTTTTGGGGGTGGCGCAGGGTTTGGGGTGCGGCCAGTCCTAACGTCACTTTCGGAACCAAAAAAAATCTATCCATCAAGACAGCAGCTGCCAGGAATTGGGCGCTG